TGCAAAAGGAATTATTTTTTCCACTTCTTTTTCTGACACTTCATTATTAGAGTATAGGAACGCTATGGATTTTTGAACATTGATTTTGTATCCAGAAAATTTACTATATTTGCTTATTGTTTCTAGTAGTGTTCTTGTGCAGTCTTTAGGGTTTTCTATATAGAGAATCGTCATCCACAAATAGTGACAGTTTGACTTCTTTCTTTCCTATTTGGATGCCTTTTTTCTATCTTTCTCTTGCCTGATTGCACTCACTAGGACCTGCAATGTTATATTGAATAACAGTGGCAATAGTTGACAGCCTTACCCTGTTCCTTATCTAGAGGGAAGGTTTTTAGTTTTTCACCATTAATTGTAATGTTGGCTGAACGTTTGTTATATATAGCCTTTATTATGTTCAGGTACTTTCCTTCTATACCGATTTTTTTAAGTGTTTTGACCATAAATGGATGTTGTATCTTGTTGAAGGCTTTTTCTGCATCTATTGATATGATCATATGATTCTTATTTTTTAATTTGTTTATGTGGTGTATCACAAAAATCGATTTGCATTATGTTGAACCATCCCTGTGCCTCTGGGATGAAGCCCACTTGATCATGGTGTATAATCTTTTTAACATGTTGCTGTATTTGGTTTGCTCGTATCTTATTTAGGATTTTTGCATCTGAGTTCATGAGAGATATTGGTCTGTAGTTTTTTCTGTGTGTGTGTTATCTTTACCAGGTTTTGGTATCAGGATAATATTGGCCTCATAAAATGAGTTGGAGAAGTATTGCCTCCTCTTCAATTTTTTGGAAGAATTTGAGGAGAATAGATATTAAATCTTCTTTGAATGTTTGGTAGAATTCACTGGTGAAGCCATCCGGTCCTGGACTTTTACTTTTTGTTAAAAAATATATCTGTCATACACAATTGTGTAAACTCCCTAGTACAATCAACAAATGAGGTTTTTATTTTTTTTAATTTTATACTTCCTTTGGTTTCTAAAGTTGTATTTTAAACATACCTTTATACTATTCTATGATATGTGTTTCTTCCACCTTTTAACATCTCTAAAATCTGGATGTATCCCATAATGAAAACCATCTCCCATTTGCTATCACCCAGGTTGCAGGCATAATCAAGTTGTATGACCACCTAGTACAAGTGAGAAAGCACCAGCAACAATGAACAGTAAACAATTACCAATGAGATATGGGTAATTTCATTTAAAATTACCACTATAAATCTTAATTCTGGTTTGTGATCTGACATCACCACATCAGGATGAAAACAATCTCTTCATCACCCTCCCTCCTTTGGAACATATGATCATTGAAATAAGTTTAACACCCTACAGAGCGAATTTATTCTCATGTCACATAATCATTCCTTGCTCCCTTGTGGCAAAAGGGAGGCTCTTATGATGCCTGCAGTCTCCCATTGATTTGTATGTGAGTGATGCTAGAGTTCTACTTCAGAAGAGATAGGTAGCTCAGAGCCTAACATCAGGGTCTCCCAGTTTAGGACCACAGCCACAGGGGATTCTCTGCTGATAAAAGATTTAACATGGCCCCACTGTCTCCACAAATATTTAATGAGCACATTCTTCCTGAGAGGGCTTCTGTCTCCATCAATAGAGCCTGTTTGGGGAAATTCTGAGATTCAAATACTTTGAGAGTAGGAAGGGAAACAGAACTAACAGGTCCCAAGCAGCTACAATGAACCAGATATCTTATGCTATTTCATTTATTCCTCACCATGGGAAATGTGCTATTTTTAATGTGTTTGTTTGTTTGTTTGTTTTATAGATGAAAGAACAGAGTCTTAGAGAAACTAATAAATTTCCCAAGGTCATAAATATAATAAGCACAAAGGTTTAGATGAAGTGTGCCAGACTTTCCAGCCGCCTTTTCCTTTATCGTAAGATAATAATATTTACGAAAGAATATATACAAATCCTCTGGGACCCAGAAGATTACTTACTCTAATCCACCAGTGGAGAGAGGCTTACAAGGTTTTGCCCAAGTTTGCCTTTGGAAGTAATCACAGATGTGCTGTGATTATTCATCCAGTTCTTGAGTGTGTCATTGGAATAGATATATTTATCAACTGGCAGAATCCTGCTTTGACTCCCTAATCCATAAAGTAAGAAAAGGCATAGTCAAAAAATCTCAGCACCTCTCCCCCAAAATATAAAGTCAATACCACATCTTGAGGAAGGAGGTAAAGAGACTACACAGGTATTAGTGCCACCATTGAAGACTTGAAAAATCCAGGGGCGATTATTCTTGTTATATCTCATTTAAACCATCTATTTGGTCTATTCACAAGATACATGGATTTGGGAAAATGAGAATATATTTTAAACTTAATAAGGTGACAATGCTAATTAAAATGGCTATTCCATATGATATAAGAGTATATATTCTTTTTCTGTCTTCTGGAAGAATTCATTGAAGTTATTTGGATTATTTCTTCCTTAAATATTTGCTATAAATTACCCTTGGAGCCACCTGGGCCTAGGGTTTTCTTTGTGGGAAGGCTTTAAATTATGGATTAATTTCTTTAACAGTTATATCACTATTCAAATTTGTTCCTTATTCCTATTTTGATAAATCGTATTTTTTAAGGAATTTTCCATTCAATCTAAATTTTTAATAAAATACTTATTATCTCTAAAAATATATATACAAAAATCTGTAATATATCATGAGATTAATTATAATTAAGTATAAGTATAATAAATAATTTTATTAATTAAAATTAATTATAAAAATAAATATATTGACCTCAAATTCATAATTGTTTCCATATCTAGTGCCATTGGAAGGTTTGCTATGTACTCCTGAATCCCTTTGGAAGGAGCTGTCCTCAGAGCATGAGGGTCTGGAGGAATTAATAAATAAGCAAATACATCTTTTCTCTCGGGGACTTTTGATCCTTTCTAGAAGCTGGGCTGTGGACCTGAACTTGCAAGAGAAGCAGGGAGTCATCTGTGATGCTCTGCTGGTAACACAGAACAGCCCCCCCATGCTCTACACCATTCTCAGGGAGGAGAATGCAGATGGGCAGTTGTACTGCACCCGTACTGCCTTTACTTTGAAGCAAAAGCTGGTGAACACGGGGGGCTACGCCGGGAAGCTGTGCGTCATGACCAGGGTCCTCCATCTGAGTCCTGAGAGCAAAACAGAGTCCTTTGAAGGTTCAGGCTCTCTAATTGATTACCCCGAGTCCTATGACCTTGCAGACATCCAGCAAATGGAAGCCTTGCTGCAGTCCCTTGTGATTGTCTTGCTCAGCTTCAGGTCTTTCCTGAGTGACCGGCTCGGCTGTGAGATTTTAAATCTGCTTACAGTCCAACAGTATGAGATCCTTTCAAAAAACCTCCGCAAGAACAGAGAATTGTTTATCCATGGCTTACCTGGCTCAGGGAAAACAATCATGGCCATGATGATCATAAAGAAGATCAAGAATAACTTTGGATGTAAAGAAAATGAAATTCTCTACATTTGTGAGAACCAGCCTCTGAAGGACTTTATTAGGTAAGCAGTTGGATTTCATTGTCACCAAGTGAGGTTCAGTCTGAATTCACTCCATATCCCCTTCCACCCAAATCACCATGCTCTTTGAGAGATGGATGGTAAAATGATCTGTAACAACAGTCCTATGCTCATAGGAGTATGATAGAGTAATTTTCCTCCTTTATTTACTTGGAGAGAACCTAAGTGTGTCATTTTTCATTTTTACAGTAATAAAAATATCTGCCGTGCAGTGACCCGGAAAACCTTCATGGCTAACCTTAATGTCGAAAAGATTCAACACATTATCATCGATGAAGCTCAGAATTTCCGCATGGAAGATGGGAACTGGTATGAGAGAGCAAAAACCATTACTCAAAGAAGAAAGGGTTGCCCAGGAATTCTCTGGATCTTTCTGGACTACTTTCAGACCAGTCACACAGATTATGACAGTGGCCTCCCCGAAATCTCAGACCAGAATTCAAGAGAAGAGCTCAACAGAGTGGTCCGCAATGCAGATCCAATAGCCAATTACCTACAGGAGGTAACGCAGAAGATCAAAGAAATGCCGCCACCTAACATTCCCCCTGGGTCCCTGGAGATACTCCATGAAGCTGAATGGGCTCAGGGTGTTCCAGGCAGCTGTGAGATTAAGAAGTGCTTGAACATAACAAAGATAATGACCTATGTAGCAGAGAAGTGCCAGTTTTTCTTGAGGAGTGGTTATTCCCCTGAAGATATTGCTGTGCTTTTTAGCAAAACACAGGAAGTGACAAAATATTCCTATAACTTTCAAAAAGCAATGAAGAAGAGAAGAATGTCTCAGAACAATGATACATCTATTTCGGCCAGTCGCATCTTGCTGGACACTGTTCGTCGGTTTTCAGGCCTGGAAAGAGACATCGTGTTTGGGATCGATCCAAGGGCAGCTGAGCCAGCCATTTCCAACAATCTTCTGCTCTGTCTGGCTTCCAGGGCCAGGAAACATCTGTATATTCTGATGCTTTCTCCTTGACAGGAAGACCTCAATCTAAGAAAAGTTGATAGAGTTAAAATATTCCTTCTGTCTCTGCAGTTTCAGAAAAAGAATGACTACTCCGAATCATAAAAGCATTATTTCTAACAATAGACCCTTGTAAGATAACTAGCTTCAGAGTTGTTGCTATATCCTGTGAAAAGAACATCTTCATCCACACTTGGAACAGCAATAAACTATATGACTGTATGAATTTCTTTTTATAAAGTGCTCAAAAATCTGCTTAAATTAACAAAGGGTAATATGAATTGGACTATTAATCTTAGAACCGATTTTATGGTAAAAGTCCCATCGTGTCAGATTTCAAGCTACCTACGTGACATCAACAGGCTCCTAACATCCCTGGGAATTTAACAGGTGGCTCTTGTGAGCCAGTATAAGCCAGCTTCAGTACATTGCTGTAACCAAAACCATTCTAGCAAAATTTGGTGTCCCTTTTTCTCATTTCACAATATGTTTAGAAAGAAAATATTAGAACAACTGAACACTGTAAATATTTAAAATTATAATCCAATAGAACATATAGAATCTATATATCATAGGAGCCTACCATGTGTCTGGGAAATGTAACACTTAATAATCAACACTGAGATGTAACCCAATATGTATGTTGGATTGTAAAGATAGAGAATCCATTAGCAGCCACACAAAAAGACGGAGTCACTTCAAAAAAATATCAGCCTTCTCAGAAGAATGTTTCATGTCAGAAAAGATTAGAGATACACCAACAAAAGAGCCCTGGAAAGAAGTGTGAGCCATAATATGTTAGCTTTACTGTGCAGCCACACAGTCCTTTAAGAATGAAGAATGAAGATAAACAATTTTGTATATAAAAGAATTCAGGGAAGACCAATCCCATGAATCCTTCCTGAAGAACTTAGAGAATAAACTTCATCCAACCAAGAAATGATCGTAGAAACGTTGGCAAAAAGATTGTCAAATAACATTGACTATAATGAACTGTAGATCTAAGATAAAAAACAAAGTGGGAGGTAAGGATGACAGAATAATATGTAAATGATATATACTGTGACATTATAGAAATTGCATTTCTAAGGGGGGAAAAACACAGAAGGAGAAGAGAAAATGGAAAGTTTCCTTATTGCCTCATAGGTCATATCTGACAAAAAATTACCATTTTAAACTGGTAATCTATTTGTAGAAAATTAAGTGTATATAAAATTACAAAGAAAAACACAAACACACGATACTATTAGATGGCAGAGGAGAGGGAAATGATAGGAGAAAGAAAATTTACAAGATAACTTTATTAAGGCCCATGGTAGGGAACTGTCTAACGAAGATGGAGCTATGAGTATTATATAAAGAAATTGCATGTCCATTTTATTTTCCCCACGAATCTCTCTTATCTTCTATTCCTCTATCTCAAAATTTTGTTCACTTCCTAGGGAAAGTAATATAAATTTTGTTTTGATTTGTTGCTTTCTTCTAACCCACCCCTTCATGCTCTTCTACCGTTAATGGTCTCAATATTTATTATTTCTTTTTTCTATATTGTAATAGACATTTTAGGGGAGCACATAACAACCTGAAATTTAAAAAAATAGATGCAATTTTCCAGCCTTCCTTGAAGCCAGTTGTGGCCATAGGACCAATTCTGGCCAAAAGTATGTAAGCAGAAGCTTCTTGATGGTCCCGTTTTTAAGAGAAATGATGTATTTTTCCTATGCCAATTCTATTGGGCAAGGGAGTATTAAGAAGTGCCCCCAGGGACTCTCCTAGGCTATTCACATTGTTCTTTATGCTCTACTATGTAGCAGCAAACCTTAATAATCAATGTGATATTGTGCTTTATAAGAAATATATATTTGCCCAAAGCTGACAGTGGCTGGTAGCAAAAATTCCCTAAATAGGTTATTAGATATAATCATGGTAAGGTTTATTCCCACTGCCACCTCGCGGTTCTCAGACTGGTCCATTCTGGCATATACTGTATCTTGTAGGTAAGAACCCCAGCTGAGGCTAAAAATAGTTCTTTAGCAGGCTATGGCTTTATGCTGTAAAGCTAGCTGATTCTGAGTGATGAATACATGGTAGAAACAGAATCTTCTCTGGGTGTGAGCTCATTGCTGTACCATTGTGGTATACTGTTGTAAGGTGAGTTATTTGTTTGGACTCAATGTTTTATGGCAATAAATAAGGCATTCTGATAAGTCCACTGAGGAATAGAGTGAAGAAATGCAATGGAGTCACTCTAGTCAAGCTGCTAAATTACTAAAATCAGATAGGTTGAGGCATGAAGAGATGATTCTATTCTTGTTTTAACTAGCCTGGAAACTTAAACTTTTGAAGTTTCCAGTCTTGCATCAATGCCTGGATGTACATCAAACTTCTAGAAAACCCTCTGATTATCTCCTGAAGGACTAGGGAATGTTTATATGTCCAGATCACCTCACATCCATTGTCCAGACCACCAGATGTGATCAGACCTGGCACCATCCTCCAGAGCACCTGACACCTGACTGATAACTGTCCTGGACCAATCCTGGAGCTGAGAATGGAAGACTGATTATTCTCAAGAATGCACTTTTTACTGTAAAAGCTCTTAACTCCTCCCCCTCTGTCGGAAGCCAGCCGACCAAGTCAAACCGGGTACCTGAATGGGGGAGCGGGGACTGAGAAAAAAGAGAAGACAGACAGGGTGCAGGAGGGAGAACAGATCTCACAACTGTCTCTCCGAGTTTATTTCTTATGCTTCTTTTTATACATAATCAGTTCCTTTGTGTATCTCAAAATAACATAATAAAAGTAACATCCTGAAGATCGAGGTGCAATTGACACTTCCTTTGACACTCCCTTCGACACTCCCTTCAACACTCCCTTTGGCTATACTTAATCTTCTTCTTCCTGGAATTCCACAGAACCAGCCTTTTCTTTTTTATGCAAGCAGGCCTCCCGAGATAATCCATGCACTCTTTTGAATTTGGGGAGCTTTAGCTCCCTACACCCCTCCCAGAACATTTCTGGGTTTTTGCCTAGTTTCCAGTTTGCAAACCCAAGACCTTTTGTCATTTATTTCTAGCCAAAACCTCCAGACTCTTTGTGAGTTAGTTAACAACATGAATGGTGATGCTAGCAGCAGCTTTGTGGGCAGGGAAGGAACACTCATATCTGAGTAAATATATATTCCTGTGAGCCACCATGTTTGTGCGGATTTCTGTGGAGAATGCTGCTGTCTTGATTCTACACTGACTTCTATTTTCTGCAGGATAAACACTCAGCAGCAGTGGTAGCCAGATCAGTCTTGGTAAGAGGAAATCCATTAGCCCATGCATTATCTCTATTGTAGAAGTGCTCAGTTACAAGAGGATTCCAGAGTATGGGACCCCAATTATAGACCATACTTCCAATGGTAGCTTAAAATCTCATAAAGAAAAAATTAGGCCCAAATGGTTTCACCAGCAACTTTTATCAAACATTTCAGGAACATATATCCATTTTTATACAGAATATTCCAGTGTATTGAAAAAAAGAAAACAATCCTCATTTCACAAGAAAATTATGAGGAAAAGGATTCATGGGATTGGTCTTCCCTGAATTCTTTTATATACAAAATTGTTTATCTTCATTCTTCATTCTTAAAGGACTGTGTGGCTGCACAGTAAAGCTAACATATTATGGCTCACACTTCTTTCCAGGGCTCTTTTGTTGGTGTATCATAATTTTCCTAAGCCATCCTAACTAATGAATATGGATACAAAAATTCTTCAGTAAATGTTAGCAAATCAAATGTAGCAAATGTACTAAAATAATACATCATTTATCCCAGGAATACATACAGTTTTTCAAGAATATGATACATACATTTATCCTAAGAATGCAAGGTTTGGTTTAATATGTGAGAATCAATGTAATCCACCACATCAATAGATTAAAAGAAAAACACAGAAAAAGTATTTAATGTTATTTAACATGTATTCAAGATCCAAACACGCAGCAAACTATGACTAGGAAGGAACTTCCTTTTCCTGGTAAAGGACATGTTCAAAAGCTCTACTAAACATACTTAATGGTAAATGTTGAGAGCTTTCCATTTGGATGATTGAGGTGCTGGATAGCTTAGGGCATCAAGGCTGAGAAATAAGCGTTCTTGCTTGCAAATTCCCCAGTAAGTGGAAATCACTTTGACTTCTTTAACTTTTGTGTAATTTGACAACATTTGCTATAGTTCTATTTTTCTACCCTGCCCCTTCTACTTTAGCCCTACAAGGCCTGACACACTGCCCTGCTCAGCCCTTCACACCATCATTGCTCACAATGTTCAGGCAATTCTGCCATGTTGCGGTGTATGTGGAATTTAGAACTTGGAGGCTCCTGGCCTAGGTTTTCGCATGGGCAGCCTTTTGCTCAGTGAGGTTTCCCCTCTTTGACTTCCCAGTCTAACATGTTAACCTCTCTTAACAGACACACAGACAGACAAATACACACACACACACACACACACACACACACGCATACTCATTCACTCACCGATACTGAGAGCCTTTCTATTATATCTCCTCATTTTACAACCATATAATCACTTTGAATTCTCAGCCATTCTTTGTACTTGTTTGTTCACATACTCAAGGTCTTTTCTGCCCTGTCTGCCACTGAAGTCCCAGCACTGAGATCACCTAGCTTCATATCACACACAGGCAGGGGCAGAAGCTGCCTCATTTCTCTTAGACAGGAGGACTTCTGATCAGATATCCTGAATGCTGGGCTAGGAAGTGGAGAAGGCCTGGTAATCCAAGCACTGGTCAGAAAGTAACCCACAAAAATCCAAAGAATATTCCTGGGCAATCTTTTGTTCTTTGAGTGATTTTTTTTTCTAATAGCAGCCCTTGTTGTCAGTGTAGAAATTCTTAGCTTCATCAATGATGACATGTTGCATCTTCTCAAAGTGACTTCTTCCTGAAGGTTTCCTGGATGTTTTACTTGCTCTTTAAAATGTAAGACACAAATGTAGGTTTTCTTAATGATATAAAGAAAGCAGATTCAACTACTAAATGGCTATGTAATACAAGTTATAACATTGTTCACATCATCCAAACAAAAAGCAGTGGCAGTCAAGATTATTCAGGAGAGAACGCAAACAGTCTACGTCTCGTTTGCTTCATCATGACCAGGTTGCACACCTCACAAGCGTTTATTATGGTAATCATTTAGTAATATATATGTGTATGAAATGTTATGTTGTACACCTTATACATGATGTTATATGTCAATTATATCTCCATAAAGCTCTGAAAAATACCTGACAAAGGTTATATATTATATGATTTTACTTACCTGACATTTTTTGAAAGGCAAAACTGTAGGGATGGAGAACAGATCAATGGCTGCTAGAGGTTAAGGGTTGGACGAGAGTTTGACTACAAAGGGGCAGCAGAAAGGAGCTTTTTTTTTGATGATGGAATTGTTCTGTATCTTGACTGCGGTGGTGGCACACAAATCTATACATGTTTAAAAACCCTTCGTCTGTATATTAAAAAAAAAATCCATTTTATGTTTGTAATTTTAAAACATTAATTCTTAAAAGTGCTTAAAAAAAAAAGTTTGGCTTTTCCTGTATGTATATAAAAGATTCACCTTTTGGGGTCACAAGCCCAAATGTGAAATCTCACTAAAAACTATGAACCTTCTCCTCAGAAAAAAATCAAAATAAATACAAATTTGAATTTTGAAGTCAAGGTAGTGGGAAGAGATGTGGATGAATCCAGATTACTGTGCTTGGCAGGATGGAGGATGGTCTCTCCAACTGATAGAGATAATGTGGAAGAAATAGCAGAAAAGGAAAACAACACAAAATAATATACAGAGTATAAAGAAGAAGCAGAAGATTGTCAGAGTGGGAGATTGATTTCGGAAACGCTCAACTTAGGATACCTGTTGTACATCAAACTGTCCAGCAAGCAATTGGATACATCAGTAAAGTTTGGACTCAGAGAAATACTGGAGTTATTTTCTATAAAAGTGGGCTAAACTAAGGGCACCTCTTACTACTATTTCTATTTAAAATCATTCTAGAATTATTGGCCTATGAATGGAAACAAGTAAAAGAAATACTGTATCTAGATACAGGAACAATTAGTTCAAAATTAGTTTTGCTTTTGCATTAATAAGATTATTAAGTAATAAGATTTAGTAATAATCTTATTAATGGTTGGAAATGACATAATTTTAAAACTATGAGTTTTCCTACATGCTAGCAGTTCACAATCAGAAATTGTAACAAAAAGATATCATTCTAGGAATAAAATTTAATATATATAGTAACAATATGGATAAAACTGAAATAATTGAGATATATACCATATTTCATTGATTATAAATGTACTTTAATATCTCTTAAATCAAGATATGTCTTATAGTTTAGTTGACAATATTTTATTTTTTAATAGTTAATAACATGATAATGCAATATTGTTTTCTTAAATTTAATGAAATATGTTAAAAGAAGACTTGAATAAATGGTAAAACATTCTACGTTCATATATGAGAAAATTCACTGTTGTAAAAATGACAGTTCTTCCAAAATTAATCAATTTCTTGTAATTGTCATCAAAATATTTCCATATTGTTCTTTCCTTTTTGGTGAAACAAAATGATTCTAAGCTTCTTCTAGAAGAAAAATGCCACGATGATATCATTTGGGGAAAGTGTACTCTGGTATATGTTTAAATACAAGTTGGCAATGTTCATTTAAATTTACAAGCAGTAGTTAGTATTTGGAATTTATCCTTAAGGAACACCTCAAGGTATTTGTAAAAATAGGTATATTGTAACATTGCTTAAAATAAAAATAAACAAATAAAAGGTGACTGGTTAAAAAAGTGATAGCAGGGGTGTTTGCAAAGTTTTATTTTTTGATCTATGTGGTGGTTACACAGGTTTCTCTGTGTAAGTTATAACTCTATTCTATGTACTCTCTGTATGTATAGTACATGTCACAATAAAACAGCTAAAATTAGTAACATCCATGTTAAGGAAGTCTATGAAATACTATACAATCAATAAAAGAATCAGGTAAATCTATGAGTAAGGTTGTGACAAGATGTTCATATACATCACTCAGATTCAGCCTTGTTCTTGCTTATAGCTATAATGTATTCATTTTCACTGATAAATAATATTCCATTATGTGGATACACCACAATACGTTTATGCAATGTCATGACAATAAGTAATTTTTTTTTTCTGTTTGGGGCTATTACAAATAATGAATCTATGAGCACTGTGAGATATTGGCATATCTCCAATTATATATACCTCCTGATGCATGTGTACACATTTTTCTCTAGAAACTAGAAAGAATTGCTGAGTGGTGGAGTATGCAAATAACCAGCTGTACAAGGTAATGTCAAATTTGCTTTCCAAAGGAATTAGACCAATTTAACATCCCAGCAGCAATGTATAAAATTCCTGATTACTCACAACCTCTTGAACACCCGATTTGTCAATTAAATGTAAGACGATATCTACTTGGGGTTTTGATCTGCATTTTACTTGTTATTAATAGATCCAGTATCTAACTTCTTTGGGAGTATGTGTTTCCTTTTCTGAGAAATGCATCTTTATAACTATTGCCCATTTTTCTAGTGGAGTTTGTTCTTTTTAAATGTTGTATAAATTTTTTATGTATTCTTAATACCAATCTTTTGTCATCTACAGAGATTGCAAATATCTTTTCAAGTCTGCAGTTAAATATTTTCACTCTCTTTAAGGTACCTTTTGAGGAGCAGAAGTTCTTAATTTTAATGTAGCAAAATTTATCAATCTTTTTAAGTTTAATTCTTTTGTGTTTGGTTTAGGAAATCCTTTCTTACCCAAACGACACAAAATTATTCATGTACATTTTCTATTAAAAGTTCGAAAAGTTTATTTCTGACATTTAAGTCCTTAAAGCTTCTGTAATTGATTTTTTATAAAACATAAAACAGCAGTCCAATTCTATTTTCTTCCTAATGGATGAACAACCAACCTATTCCCAAGCAACCACCCATAATGAATTACCTGGAAAGTGACATGTTTGCTGTTCTTCCAGACATTCCAAATTCTTATGAGTGCACACACTCCTGCTGCGGGGTGTGGTGGATGACAAACTCAGCTCAAGATCATCTCAGAAAATATGGAAAGATCTTAGTAAACAAGAACCAAGGGTTCAATATACAAAAAGGTGGACCCCCAACTGATAGCTGAGTTGTGTTGCAAAGTCTTTGACTTAGTCCTAGAACTAAAAGTCTTGGCTTACAGATGTTGATTTCACATTTCAGGTCAGCTCAGGAAAGCCTACTAATATCTCGGGGTGGGGGGAATAGTGTGGAGCAACAGTTTTTAGTTTTTAATTTTTAGTTTTATTGTATCGAAACAAACTATTTTTATATTTGTAAAATGCTTATATTAAAATATAATTAGGAGGTATGAAAGTTAATGGATATAGATTTCTGACATGATTCTGAAATGGACTTTGTTTTTCTGGACTTTTGAAGAGATACCATTGGTTTTCTTTTGTCTAATTTCTTCCAGGCTTTCCTTTTCCAAAATAGTTGCATATCATCAACTCTGCTCTTTGGCTCATTATTCACGGTGGGCATCACAAGCTAACTCTCAAAAGGAAAGAGAAAAGAGAGGGACAGTCATGGTCAGGCCGTCTTTTGGTTCAAAAATGGAAGTGGGGCAATGAGAAAGGGAGAATATTTAATGCAGGATAACATACAAGATGGAAGGGCAGGGAAAAATGGCAGTGAGTTAAAGAGGGCACACAGGTTTGAAGAGACCTAGACACGCGAGCGCCCCCTGGCCAGACTGCGGCGACCCAGTCCCTGCAGGCCCCTGGTTTCGTAGGCGGCTTCAGTATCCTCAGCCCGGGCCACTGGGACCTCGAGCTTGGGGAGAAGGTGGGAGAGAGATTGCTAGGAGGGCTCCAGCAGTCCTCCGGCCTATGGGCGCGGAAGTTGGAAGTGAGATGTTGAAACATCTATTCTCCAGAATTTTAAGAGGGCCAAGAAGACAGGAGGGAGCCCCGGGAGAGGAGCAGTTGAAGTCAAGAACTAACTGAATGCTCCAGAGGTCCCCAAAAGCTGCTTACGCCCGCGGGGCGCGGGTTCGGGTCATTCCCCAGGCAGCCGGCTCCTCGCACCCTTCGCTCCGCTGAGCCGCAGCTTGGGTTCCCTGCACAGGCCTCGCCCCGCAGCAGCGCGCATCACAAACGCGGGTATGTGCGGAGAGTCCCGCGCGGAGCCGGGTACCCAGCCAGACCCTTTGCGAGCTGCCAGAACACGTTTGGTAATAAACTTAGAACGAACAGACTGAAAACTGCGGTCTTGGACAAGACCCGGAGTGTGATGAAGTCTGCAGCGGACAGTTTCCATTTTCTTTCACCGAGACGCCATCGCCTAATCCTGCTGGGGTTCTAGCAAACGGAGACACACACTCCGGGCAGGCTGCGATAGAGCCGTTAGCAGCAGTCATCACTCCTTTACAAATCAAAGTACCCTCAAAAGAAAGGAGGCAGACTCAACTTAGCCCAGTTCTAGGGTGGAGGGAGGGCAAAAGCGGAGGTTTAACTCTGTCCGCGCTGGACGCAACGCTCCCTCCTCCTCAGTTCCCCGCAGAGAGCCGGGACTGCTGCTCTGGTAATGTCAACCAGAATCCAGGGGCTGGAGGCGTAGGGGTTAGAGACCTGAGGACGCGCCGGAGCCTGGGACGTCCGGGTAGGGCTGGAGGATGTGGAGTTCCACCCAGATCTCCCTCCTTGGGTGAGGGCGAGGACTGCCAATCTAAAAACACACAAACAAACAGCTCCCCCCACCCCCCCGCAAAACAAAACAAAACAAAACAAAAAAACCTAGAACAACAAACAAACAGCCCCCCCCCGCAAAACAAAACAAAACAAAACAAAACAAAAAAACCTAGAAAACATAGAGAAGCCAAAAGACCTTCCCATCACCTCACCCCATCGCCCCATCTATCCACCGAAGGTAACCAAGGCTACTGTCGTTGCATGAGACGGGGTGGGTTCCGGTCCACAGAAGCGAACCTGTATGGCTGTCCTTTCTCCTGCGCGGTACCCCATCCCGTGAGGAGTCACCGAGTTCAGCTGATACAAGGACTGGACCTTGCAGGGTCAAGGCCGCTGCTCTGGACTTGTGAGGATCGATCGCTTTCTCCGGGAGGGAGGCGCGCTGCAGCGGAGAAACCTTGACAGGTAACGAGTCCTCCGCGCTTCTTTGCGCTTCTTTGCTCAGACCCAGGTCTGAGCGCTGCCCTGGGAACTCTTTTCCCTCTCGGGAAAATTTTTTAGGAAAAATATTTCTCGGTAGCTACTTCCGGCAGGTGGGCAGTGGAGGACCCGGAAGCAGGGAGGTTCGGAATGCCAGACAAGCTGAGGAGGGAGAGGCACGCAGCATCACAGCCAAATCTTACCAAATCGAGCCTGGTAAAATTTCCCCACAGTTCAGGAGCACGAGGAACTTTAAAGGAATCAAGTGCCGAGGCTCCTGAAGGTGAAGTCAGTGAGGTTGTGGACTGAGGACAAATACGGTCAGTGTCCAGTTCACTACAAGCGTCCATGTTCCGCGGATTGCTTGTAGAACCCCCTGGTTTAGCATCTCGGTCCTCAAACCGTAACAGCATCCGAGAGGGCGGCTGTTAGAGCATCCAAGAGCATAATCCCATAATCCTCGTATACCCCATTAAGTAGTTTACTAGAGCATCCATGGACTCTGTCAGCAGAGACTAGCTAGGCTGAGTGATTCCTTGCGCCTTTTGCACATGGCTGTCTAGGAGCCAGAAAGGAATCCTTGAAGGCTAGTGTGGTAGAGAAGGTATGCTGGACGGTGGGACTTTTGATTGGCTCATGAGGGTTCATCCACCTATCGGAGTCTCAGAGCGGATACCGTAGGAGGAGACATTGGCGGTGCCTAGTGTTTGCCTGGCTTTGCTCTACCAGAAGGTGGCGAGAGTATGCCTGCCTAGGTGGAGAAAGAGAAACTGATTCTCCTGAGTCTGTCAGGGCCCGAGGTGAGAGTTCTTGTGGCCAGAAGAACAGGAAAGATGAGCAGCTAAGGATAGTGTCCCGTTTCAGAAGTGTTCTTTTAAATGTCATAAGGCTCTTCATCTCTTTTGTTTAAATAAGAAAATGAGCCAAGTTTTAGTACCTTCTTGTAAGTGGGAGATTGAACTGTGATGATCTGCTGTTGGCCTGATTATGAAAATTCACAGATGTTTAGGTCCATCAGAAAACAGAAATCAATTTCAGCTTTTATTGTCATGGCAACAGGACATTAGGTAAACAACTATTCATAGTTACAGTATCTCTCAAGACTAATAGACATTTAACAGGCCAGAGGAACAGTCTTGGAGGATTCCTTTGCCACGATATTAAAAAATAAATCTACAAGGGCAACTTCATAGCATGGAATACTTTCTGCTTTTATGCACCTGAGAAGAAGAGTGCATTTTCTCTTATTTCGCTAATATAATTTTCACTGGCAGTTAGGAGGGTCTGCTGTTTTCCACACCAAGCACTAGATTTCCACTATGAGGGCACGTGGCAGGCCTGAGAAGTGTAAACTGCCGATATGCAAGGGAAAGGGCAGGATATGGAGGTTATTATCAAATGAATGTAGGGGCACACAAAGGTCTTCATCTGGAGTATGCAGAACTTGAGTCTCTGTAACACTAATCCTATCATATATTTAGTTTCTATGGAAAAAACTCAGTAATAGCAGGCACATAAATTTACACTCCTAGCAGATTATTGAGCTCATTACATTATAATAAAATATTTTTTACTTATTTTTTCACAGTCATTCATCCATACAGTTTTTAATGGCTTTATGGGGTATTTTTGACAGATAATAAACTGCACACGCATTTAAAGTGTACAATTTGAAAAACTTTGACATGTGAAACCATCACTGCAATCAAGATAGTGAACAAATATATCATCCCCAAAAGCCCTTTTGTAATCTCTCCCTCTCACGTCTCCATCCTCCGCCCCAGGCCCTAAATGAATGATTGGCTTTCCATCACTATAGAAGAGTTTGCATTTTCTAGAATTTTATACAAATGGAGTACTATAGTATGTACTCTTTTTTGTCTGGCTTCATTCACTCAGAATAATTCTGAGATTCACTCATGTTATGGGTACCATAGTTTTCTTTTTTATTGCTGAGTAGTATTCCGTTGTGTGTATAACCAAAATCTGTTTCTGTTAATGAGCATTTGGATTGCTTGCAGTTTATGGTTTTTACAAATAAAATGTTCTGAACACTCATGTATAAGTCTTTGAAAGGACATATGTTTTCATTTCTCCTGGGTAAATATTTAGGAGTGGAATAGCTGGGTCGTATGGTAAGTGTATGAAATTACCAAACTCTTTTCCAAAATGGTTGTATTTTATGTTCCTACCAGGAGTCCCCTTTCCTCCACATCCTCAGCAGCAGCTGATATGGTTAGTCATTTCAGCCATTCTAATTGGTGCGTAGTGTTATCTCATTGCAGTTTCAATTGGCATTCCTCTAACGACTAATGATGTCAAATATCATTTCATGTACCTATTTGCAGACTATATACATTCTTTGGTGAAGCATTTGTTCAAATCTTTTATTGATTTTTAAATTGGGTTGTTTATTTTCTTATTATTGCCTTTCAAGAATTCTACATAAAAATTAGGTAGATAAAAGTTCTTTATCGGATATATTACTTGCAAATATTTCTTCCAGTCAGGGACTTGTATTTCCATTCTCTTCACAGTGCCTGTCAGTAGGAGACATTCTCAAGGTCCATTATATTACTTTTTCTCTTTTATGTATTGTGCATTTAGTGTCATCTCTAAGAACTGTTTGATGAACCCAAGGTAAAAATACTTGCTTCTATGTTTGCCTCTAGAAGTTTTGAGGTTGAGAGACTAAATAGCTTTTTGGGGTATTTTTGACAGATAATAAACTGCACACACTTAAAGTGTACAATTTGATAAATTGGCTTAGTATTAAAGTATAAACTTGCTGGGTTTTTGGCATTTTGTGAACTCACCCCCATGTTAAAACTTTAAAAATACAGATACTGGGACAGTCAGCAGAACAGGGAGTTCTCTGTGTTGAGTGGTTTACAGACCCTGAGGAGGAAAATCAAAGGCTATTTGTTTGGAACAACCACATTGAAGGGCCAAGGTGTACTTTAGGAGTTTCCTTATCCTTGGATTGACAGCAGGGATTGGCAGAGGAGACACACCATCTTTGCAATCATTCTTCGGGGCTGAAAAACATCTGTGAGTAACAAATAGCTCTCCTGCTGCCCATATTTAGCCCCTGAAAAGAGGAAAGCTATGCCCATCTTCGTAACAGTTATAAAACCCCATGTCATATTTACTGTAGATCAGGGAAAATTTTGTGCCCCAAGCATTGCCCTGGCTTGATTCCCACACCATACTCCTGTAAACAGCTCCATCCAGGAGACAAGGCTCTAATTCTGAGGAAAAGAAAAAGAAAAAAGGATACATTGAAAGAGAGAGCCAAGATGACAGCTGAGGAGTAGGCCTAGAGATCCCCCCAAGTCAGGATCCAAGAGCAGAGGGCTCAGGGGGAATATATTCTGAGGAAAGAAATTGTTGTTAATCGTTGGTACACTTAATGTATTTGATTAACAAGTGTCCTTGTATGAGGCAGAGAATTTGGAGATAAATTAGTGTTAGATACATAGAAAACTAAGCAAACAAAAAGTCAGATGATTAAAATCCTGAGCAAAAGCAGAAAATTGTACAGAAAATGAAATGCACTCATAGTATACTACCTAGCACAACTGTGACTAGAGAGTCAAAACAAGGTAAACATTGAATATTGTTCTAACACAAAGTGATGATGTAACCACATTGGCAGGTTATGGGTAGGGGAAGATAGGGAGAACTAAATCTTATAGGAGTAAATAGATAATACCTGTTTAAAACCAAAACTGCGCTATATAGAGACCAAGAGGTATATACCAAAAGAAGCATCACCTCAGGAGAGTAATAAAAAGGGGTAAGGTAGGAGACTGCTGATTTTATGCTAAGTCTTATAGAACTATGTTACTTTCAATACTATATTGATTTAACTTTGATTTTCAAAATTTATAAAAATTCGTATTATAATATATTTCTCTGGAAAGTAGTAGGCAATGCATGTATCTCCTATTATGAAGCTTTCCCCCCCATATAACCAGGTGTCTCATATAATCTGTGTTTTATAGTCCCATATTCTTGGCACTCTTGTAGATGTAAACCACACGCTCTACAGGCCACATAATAATAATCCCACCTTGACCTTCTCCTCGCACATTCTAAGTTTTGTGTTTTTTGGATCTGGTATTTGTTTTCTCCAAAGCAATTAGTGAAACTTCAGTGCTTGGCTCTGAATAGTACAGACCTGGGTGGCCCAAAAAAAAAAAGAGAAAAGAAAAAAAAAGGATAATGTCCCTCTGTCCCTTTACAGCTGCCTTTCCAAATGCTATTTCTGGCAAAGGATAATTGTATTAACACCTGGACTTCAAAGACTGTTGCTATTTCCTATGAAAGTAAATCACTAACAGCTAAAAAGTCTGTTATCCTGATAGGTTGTTTAACTAAAAGATGTGCTGCTCTGACAGCATTTAAATTGACACCTTTTTCCTGAAAGGGTTATATACACTTACACATTTGAAAGTCTGAAGATGGAAGAAGAGCTCTTCCCTATTCTCCCACATGTACGGAGATAATAAAACCTATGTTCCTGCTCAATTGCTTAAGAGTTTGGGAATTTGTGTTTCATTTCGATGAACATTTATTACCCAGGAACTGCTGCAATGCTTGGGGGCTGACCATCCCTACTGGCATGGCACCCGGAACTCCCAACTCCACTCTCAAGAAACCATCTGGAATCAGTTCTCCTTGTTGCTACAGACACACTCTCCGCTGCCACCTGCAGATGACACCAGCTCTTCCAAGAGCAGTAGCTCCGCCTCTCTTTCCTATGACCTCTATTACCCCTCCTTTTTTTCTTAAATGTTAAAAGATTATTTACAAAGCTTCTTTGTTATACAGAAAGCAAAAATGATGTTACGACCTCAGCGTAACTGGTAGCCATGGATGGTTATGACTCAATCGCAGCTATCCACACTACAGCAAGAATCTTACATAAAAACCTGACAACACAATTTGGTGGGGCGAAGACTCTAAGCTTAGTGGAAGGCAGACTGTCACAGGAAGTATGTTCTTTAGGTGACGGGTAGGTATCCTGGGGTTGGTATACAGCCTTTCTTTTTTTTTTTTTTTTTTAACAGTTACCATCTCCATGTGAGCAGTCCAATCAATCCTGAACAAAGTCCTAGTACTCTCCCTTCTCAGACCAGGGAGACATCCTCAACTGCTATTCAGCACTCCCTGCCTCAGGCTCTGACCTATCTGATTTCTTTCTAGCTCCCACACCCATCACGAATGGATGGGAGAGCAAATCTCTTCTCATGAAGGGCTCAACCTCTGGGACTGGTACCCAACAGGAGTCAAATAGATATTTGTGCTGAGATATGTGGGGCACTGTGGGCTAGCCCCAGGCCTGCCCACCCCGTCCCACGCTGTTACTCTGTGAAGACTTTCAAGACAGCAGCTCACAGGCATCATCCAGAACACAAGCCATTTAAAAATAATCTCTGGAACCTATTTGTATCAGAGACCCCAAACTCACCTACCTCGCTTGGATCCCAGAACTTTGGCCCATAGTTTGACTGTTTCCTCTGAAATCTTTCATAGTTTATGAAAGATTTTATGAACCAGAAGGAAATCTATGACCTTGGTATTTCGATGGAATGCATTATGGACTTCAATAGTAACAGGGGAAACAGCCCACAGACCTTGGAATCGCAAAGATCACTGTCAGGGTGGCATTTCAGCGAAACCACATAGAAAAGGGAAGTGACAGATTTATCCTCTTCCCGTGGCACTTGGTATTTTACTGTTAGGTAGCTAGTCAGATACAAGCGACAGGGAGAAAGTCAGACACGAGCGACAGAGAGAACAAAAATAGGGGCCCAGCTTAGAGACCACCCAAAGAACACCCCAATGGTAGTAGAATTCTGGGTAAGCACATGTACACTAGGCAAAGTTATTGCCTAGTGTCGATCAGGTGTCAGTCCGCCCTGAGAAACCGGTACACGTTGAAACTGAAGCCAGGATCAGAGCCAAAGGAGCAGTGCAGTGGGTGGCCAGGAACCACCAGCCGCCATCACCAAGCAGACAAAGCCGCAGAGGCGGGAATCCCACCCTCCTTACCTTCCAGCGGCCCGCCTAGCCCTGCAGCCCTCGGCGGATCGCAAACGGGAAGAAACAACATTCAAGCCTGTGTGGTCCGCTCTAAGCGTGGGTAAACCCACTGAAAAGACCTGAGCCATAGACCTGAAAGCGTGTCTCCTCCTGCCCACCTCTTCCCCACCCATGGCGGCAGAACCTGGTAGAGGCACCTGGAGCGATGCAGAAAGCACTGCCGGCTGGCGGCTTCTAGTTATAGGAGTGTGGTCAGGGAAACACACAGGCTCGAAGACCCGTCGCCTGCCTTAACCCACTACTGGGATAGTGCCCTGAGGCTGAGAGGAAGGGGTAATAAAGAGGACGCGCGCCTCCGAGAATACAGGCGTTTTTCACGCGGAGAAAACACTCCCCTACACACACAGAGATCCTGGAAGTACGGTACTGATAAGAGAAAACAAATCTTGCATTACAGCACCATCTACAGGAAAACAAAGGAAAGACCTTTACTTATCAAAAACAAAACAATATGCTGAAAAAAGAAATATTCATTCCCTCAAATGTCCAGGCAGAGAAATAATCCATCAAATACCACGAATAACCAAGGTAACAAGGAAATATGAAAAGAAAATGAAAAGTCTCCAGAAAATAAAGACATAAAAGACTGTGCCTTAAATGACAGAGAATTCAAGATTGCTGTTCTGAAAAAACTCAACGAGATTCAAGAAAACTCAAAAAAGGCAGTTCCATGAACTCAAAATAGAATTAACAAACTA